AGGAAAAAAGGTCCAAAGACGAAGGAGTGAAGGGAGGGGAAGGGGAAAGGAAAAGAGGGAAAGGAAAAACTATGAGAAAAGAAAAAAAAAAAAAAGAAATGAAATCTATGTAAATAGGAAAGGGTGGAGGGGGTGAAGGGTGCATAGGTAATGGGGGAAAAAAAAAATAACCAAGATACATCATGTACAGGTACAAACACCCAATGATAAATGTAAACGAATTGTATACTTAAAATGTACCAATAAAATGTACCAATAAAATTAATTTAAAATTTTTTTAAAAAGAATTTTAAGTATTAAAAAGGAATTTCATTTTGTCCATATCCTTAGCAATATTTCTTTATCAATATTTTTAATCTTTTATCTGATAATAGCTATTCTAACTGTTGTGAAATGGTATTTTATTGTGATTTTGATTTTGATTTCTGATTAGTGATGTTGAACGCCTTTCCACATACCCATTAAGCAGTTAGTTTTATGTCTTCCTGGGAACAGTGTCCATTCTGTGTCCAACAGCTTTTCATATTACCAGATTTACCTATTTCTGTTCCCAGAATTTTAAGGCAGAAGCCCTGTCTCTGGAGGTCCCAACAGACCAGGCTCGGTCACTCATTCCCGTATGCCAATCAAGAGAAGCAGTGGCAAGAAAGGAGTTTTTAATCAGCGCGGGCTCCCGGAGAATAAATATAAAGATGTTCAAGATCTGTCTTCAAGGGGCCAATAGGAACTTCAGAGTTTTGTAGAGAAAGGAAACAAAGGCAGGGGTTGGGGGTTTGCATATTTAGCCAAGTAGGCAGTCTTCATCAAGTTGAGGGCTGGTTGATCATTATCTCTGGACTGATTCTGTGATGCTTAGAGATAGCCACCATCGCTTGAGGAACCAGAAGGCTAGCGAGGCCAGTGACTGTGCCTTCCTTCATTACTTTTGGCCAGTCTAGTCTAAATTGAGATTTTTAGATTTAAAATGATGTTTCATAGTGGCCTTAATTTTCATTTTTCTGATTACTACTGTGGTCAGGTATCTACAAATGTCTGTCCATCATTTATTTACATTTCTTCTTTTGCAAAGTGCCTTTTAATATCCTTTGTAAATTTTTTTCTGCAGTTGTCTTTGTAGTTATTCTTGACAGTTTCTGGTCATACTAATCTTTGGTCAGTTATATAAAGATCCTTATCAGTGGCT